CCAAGTACCCCGGGAGGGTCCCGGGGGCCTGGCGTTGCTCACGGGGCTCTCGCCCCTCAGAACCTCTACGACAGCATTCGAAATGAGCCCTTCAAGATCCCGGAGGACGACGGGAATGACCTGACCCACACCTTCTTCAACCCGGACCGGGAGGGCTGGCTCCTTAAGCTGGGTACGTCCCCTGCTGACCCTGCTGGCTGCCTGTGCAGGGGGAGGTCAGTGGGCCTGGGCTCCGCTGTGTGACCCCAGGCAAGCGAGGCGACCTCTCAGCCTGTTCGTGCATCTGCATCATGAGGCTGAGGACAAGAGCCGGCCCGTGTGCTGGCCCAGGCGCAGGCCCGGCTGGGGGCTCCGCAGACACTGGGGGAAGCGAAGGGCTCGGGCACAGGGTACTGCCAGGCTGTGCGGGTGGATGGAGTCCCTGACCGGGAAGGGAGGGGGCGTGGTGCCAGCAGATGCGGTCAGTTAGCAGGGGTCACGGTGCCTCTGTCTGTGGATGGTGCTTCTCGGCCAGCTGCACAGGAGAGTCACCTGGGAGCTCTTACACCTGGATGGAGTCCCTGACCGGGACGGGAGGGGGCGTGGTGCCAGCAGATGGCGGTCAGTTAGCAGGGGTCACGCGGTGCCTCTGTGGATGGTGCTTCTCGGCCCAGCTGCACAGGAGAGTCACCTGGGAGCTCTTACACCCGGTGGTTGGGCTGTGAAGCCAGGAGGGGGCAGGACAGCCGTCAGTTATGGTGAAAGCTCCCCAGGTGGCCCTAATGCAGAGCCGAGGTTTCGAGCTGGCTCGCAGCCGGGCCTGGTAATGGTAGGTGCCAGGGGAGTGTTAGCTGCGGCTTTTTAATGGAGAAGCCCTGAACGGCTGCTCTGGGAGGCAGACTGACAGCTCACAGTCCAGTGTGCACAGTGCAGACAGCAGGGCAGTGGGAGGGCCCCAGGAAGCCTCCAGCCCAGCGCGAGGCCGGGGCAGCACTGCGCTCCCGGGTCGTCTCCCCTCTCCGGTGTGGAGCCCAGGCACCGTTCTCCAGCATTAGAAGCGGGTCCTGCCCGGGTGCAGACGGCCCTGGTGCGCGTGGAAAATGCAAAGCACGTCCTCCAGCCAACGTGCTGGGTGCCTGGTTCCTGGGGGGAATTCTGGCTCCGCAGGGAGGGCGTCGGGAGGGCAGCGTCACCAACGATTTCCCCCCCAAACGCCTCCCTCGGCAGCCATCCTTCCCCTCTCCCAGGTGAGGACAGTGAGGCTCGGTCACCACCCAGCCGCTCAGGGCAGAGGCGGCCTTGGCCCCAGGTCTCTGACCCGAGCACGTCTCTGCTTTGTGATCATTAGGAAAAGGCGCCTCTTAGACACTGACACGCAGGAGAGGGGCCTGCGGTGGCTCTGTTCACGGTGGTTAACAGCCATGGTCACTGCTGCTATTCAGTCCCTCTGGCCCCACAAGGAGCCCACAGCAGGGCATCTGGAAGCAGGAAGGCGGCTAAAGGGCAGAGGTGGTGCTGAGGTCACATGGGCAGTTGTGCTGGACCTGGCTGAGTCCCCACGCCACCTGGGGCCAAGGCGGGGTTCTGTCTGCTCCCCTGCGGGGAGGGCCTCCAGGGCACAGACGTGTTCATGGCGGCAGCGGAGGGCCTCCTGGCCGAGGACGTGGGCGGGGCGGTCTGGGGCCTGGCACTGACGAAGGGGGTGCTCATGGCTGCCTCCTGGGCTCAGGGCACTCGCCTCCCCGGGAGGGAGAGGGCCTGGCCCATCCTCCCTCATGTGGATGTAACTGGTTTTCTTCCCTCTCTCTCCCTCCCTCCCTCCCTGCGTGTTTCTCTTTGCTGTTTCTCTCTCTCTCTGTCCTACCCCCTGCGCATCCCTTCCCTCGCCCACCCTATTTCTGTTGCCTGTGGCTCTTGGGGGCACCCCACTCTTCTGCCTTGCCTTCTCGCCTGGTCCTGCCTGCTTTCTCGCTGTCTGCCCCAGGAGGTAGGTACACGGCGTCCTCGCTCCCCGTCACTACAGGAGAGGGGGCTGGGGGCTCAGACTCCTGGGCCCGGGCTGACCAACAGGCTTAGAGAGCGGAAAGCCCACCCGGGGGGGTGGACCAGTTCCTGGGGCCCAAGCACGCCTGTCCCTGCTTGTCTGTCTGTCTGTCCCACGCGTTGCTTCGTCCCAGGCCCCGACAGCCCGCGCCCCTGCGCTTGCTCTGCCTCTCACCCCCTCCCCCTCCCAGAGGCCCTGACCCTGTGCTGAGCCCAGGCCCCCTCCCGCCCCTTCCCTTTCAGGGGGCCGGGTGAAGACGTGGAAGCGGCGCTGGTTTATCCTCACAGACAACTGCCTCTACTATTTTGAGTACACCACGGTGAGGACGGTGCTGAGCTGTGGGTCCTGGGAGGAGGGGCTGGGGGTGAGGATTGGGAGGTCCGAGTCCTGTCCGACTCGCTCTTTCAGGACAAGGAGCCCCGAGGAATCATCCCCCTGGAGAATCTGAGCATCCGGGAGGTGGACGACCCCCGGAAACCAGTAAGACCCTCTCCGCACCCCTTCCTGCCGCAGCGGGGGCTCCTCTGCCCTCAGGCCGGCTCTTACCCACCGCCCCTCCTCTTTGGTGTCTCCCCAGAACTGCTTTGAGCTTTATATCCCCAACAACAAGGGGCAGCTCATCAAAGCCTGCAAAACGGAGGCAGATGGCCGCGTGGTGGAGGGGAACCACATGGTGTACCGCATCTCGGCCCCCACGCAGGAGGAGAAGGATGAGTGGATCAAGTCCATCCAGTGAGCTGGGCTCCGGGCCCTGGGGGCGGGGGTGGGTGGCTGGGACCAGAGCCCCCGGCCCTCACCCTGGGCCCCTCCCCTTCCGCAGGGCGGCTGTGAGCGTGGACCCCTTCTACGAGATGCTGGCCGCCAGGAAGAAGCGGATTTCTGTCAAGAAGAAGCAGGAGCAGCCCTGACCCCTGTCCCCCCTCCGTTATTTATTACTGCGCCGCCCCGCCCGGTGGCCGGACCCCTGGGGCTGGGGCTGTGGATGCTGGCTCCCCGTGTGGAAAACGTACCACCTCTAGTTCCTCTCTCATTATTTGTAATTAACGCACTGTTGGTAATAATTATTGAACTGCTCGCGGCCTGCTGACCTCTCATTTCTCGGGGTTGACAGCTGATGTGCGGCTGTCCATCCAGGGCCAGGAGTGCTGGTCTCTGTTGGGAGCTGTCAGTGGAGCAAAGGGTGCTGGCCAAGAGGGTAACCCCCCCTGGGGCCTCTCGGGTGGCTCCATTCTCATTGCGCCCCAATCCTGCAAGGGTGGTACTGGGAGGCGGTTGGTGTAGCCGGAGCTGGTGTTGCTTTAGAATGTCACGGGCACGCAGGTATTCCCAGGCGAGGTTGAGCATCCGGGTGCCATCTGGCAGCCGGAGCCACGGATGCTGGCCCCTATAGCCGCTTGTGGTCTTTGGTGGGTGACAAGTAATAGCTGTGGGGTTGTGAGCTGGTTTGAGGGACAACCAGAGAGCTGGACGGGCTGTGAAGGGGACCTAGGGAGGGCCTGGGAAGGAGGAGACGTGAGGAAAGGAGGGGGAAGGCCCAGTATTGGACACAGCAGGTGGGGGAGCCCTTGCTCTGCTTCAGCAAGAGGTTGCTGGTGTTGGAAGTGGGCTGGGGCCCAGTGGATGGTGCCAAGAGGCAGGAATGCGGTAGATGGACCGGTTTCTCAGCTGGGGATTAACCTCCTTGTGAGGACATTGGACACCCAGCAGTGATAGCACCGAGAGCCTGTGCTTCTGTAACATCCTCCCATTTCCCGGGAGCCACAGCCTCTGGAGTGTAAGGACTGAGGGCGCCCCCAAGAGCCAGGTCCGGGCCTGTCCACCTGTGCCCTCCAGCTCGGGGCACGCATGGTGTCCCCTTGGAGCAAAGAGGTGGTTTGGCAAATTGGGAGACCCCATGTCACTCTCCTATGCCCAGATGTGCAGCTGAGGAGACTCCAAGAACCACACTCTGGCAGGTCCCTGGACTGACACTGCCCCGCGGAATGCAGTTCCTCCCGCACCCTGCATCCTCCGGACGTTGAATCCCTAAGAGATTGCTCCTGGTGGGGTGGGGTGGGGTGGAGACCCCCCCCACCCCCGCCTCTCCCTTGGGCAGGGCTCCTAAGTGCAATAGCAGTCACCCTCTCCTGCGAGAGCCGGACCACAACACCTGGCAGGCTGTGCTGCTCTGGGCGCCCCACAGCTGGGAGAGTCATTCCCGAGGTCTCCTGGGAGTTGTAGTTTCTCAAGACAATGCTGTCAGATTTACCGTAGCCTGGTGCCCCACCAGGTTGGGAAAAGAGGCCCTTGACTGCTTCAACCCCCAGGGGCTGAGGGGAAATGGATTTTCTGACTCCTCCCCAAGGTTCCATGGAAATGGAGTCATCCACCCAAGAAGGTTGTGGTAAATGGGAACCTTGGGTAAATTAAGGGTCTCGACACTCTCTCACCCGATCCTGCACTCCTCCATGGGTCCTTAGTGCCAACTAGCGGGGAAGCAGCTGGCTCAGTGGAGAGGACCTGGAAGAGCATCCCAGGCCAAGGGAACAGCATGTGCACGGTGTGTTGGAGTAACTGACAGCAGACCAGTCTGCCTGTTTGGTGGTGATGGTGGGGGAGGGTGACAGAAAATGAAGGGGACGGCCTTAGCCGGTTTCTCAGGGGTTAGAGCATCAGCCTGAAGACGGAAGGGTGGCAGGTTCAATTCAGGTCAAAGGCACTTCCCTCGGTTGCAGGCTCAATCTCCCCCTCACCTCCCCACCCCCCAACCCGCTGGGGTTGGGGCATACCAATGGATGTGTCTCTCACATCAATGTTTCTCTCTGTCTCCCACCCCCTACCTTCCACTCTCTGAAAATCAATGGGGAAAATATTCCTTGGGTAAGGATTAACAACAACAATGAGAAAGAAGAGAGAGAGAGAGAGAGAATGGAAATGAAGGGGATGCATGGGCCTCATCATTGGGGCCAGTACTTGGAAGGTATTCTCAGTAGGTGGAGGCCATCCAAGGGGTGATGTGATGCATTTGGGTGGAGGCTGTAGGCAGGGCCCCGGGCTGCTGCAGAGGAGTTTGGACGTGAGCGGCTGGCGGGCGGGAGGGAGGCGAGGAGGCTGTGCAGTCAGCCAGGGGAAGGGTGTGGCTGCAGAGGCGGGACAGTGGCCCCTGTGAGTCGTTTCGGAAGAGGAGCCAGTAGGACTTGCTGAGGGCTGGGTCAGCTGGGATTCTGGCTTGAGTATCTGGTGAACGGCATTGCCATTGAATGAGATGATCAAAGAGGGATTTTTTTGTGTGTGTGTGGGTGGTGGTGGGAAATCGGTGGTTCTGTTTTAGCCAAATTAAGCTGGATTGTCAAATCAAGTGAGACTCCAGTCATCTCAAAATTGCCCTTCAATGCCCCCCCCCCAATCTCTCCAAGGACTAAGAATTCTAGCTTCCAGCTCCCTCCTCTCCCAGGACCCCAAACTCCCAACCCCCTTGTTATAGGTGACCCTCCAAAATCCATATGTTGAAGTCCTAGCCCCCAAGATCTCAGAATGTGACCTTATTTGGAAATAGCATCATTGCAGATAAAATTAGTGAAGATGAGGTCACTCACATGGGCCCTAATCCAATATGACTGATGTCCTGCCTTCTACCAAGGGATATTTTGAACACAGAGACACACAGGGAGAATGCTGGGAAAAAATAAAGGCAGGGGTCGGGGCGATGCCTCCTCCAAGGAACCCCAAAGACTGCCAGCAAGACACCAGAAGCTGGGAGAGAAGCAGGGGACGGGCTCTCCCCTCAGCCTCAGAAGGACCGGGCCTGCTGGCACTTTGATCCTGGACGTCTAGCCTCCAGCACTGAGTCAATAAATGTCTGTGATTTAAGCCTCCCAACTTGCGGTGTTTTGTTAAAGAAGGCCTAGCGAACCGATGCACCCCTCCTCCCTCAGGCCCAGGAGTCCGGGCCCTCACCGCACGCCTGGCTTGGTCCATGCAGCCCCCTGCCCCGGCAGGCATGTTCCCAGGGTCAGTTCAAGCACCACCAGGTCTACTGGTGGCAGCAGTGGGAAGAGGCACCCACTACGTCCTCTCTCTCCCTTTCTCCGTCCCCCAGACTCAAATGTGACCCTCCTGCCCTCAAAGTCCACAGCATCCTCGCTAAGTACCTTCTCCTGGCCCCTTCCCTCCTCTCGTATCCAAACTATATCCCTCAAATATGCAAACGAATCCGGTACCAAGGTGACGGGGAACAGGCTGAAACCAGGAGATGAGAGCTAAAAAAAACAGACCCCGTCAGAGAGAGATGGAAGCACAGTCAGCCCAGAGTCAGGAGGAACCAAGAAGCAAAACATCGAGACAAAAACAAGGCAGAAAGGCAGAGTGGAGACAGGAAGGCCATCGGGAGACACGGCCGAGGGAACAGAAGTAGACACAGTGGCCCTGGCCGGTTTGGCTCAGCGGACAGAGCGTCGGCCTGTGGACTGAAGGGTCCCAGGTTCGATTCCGGTCAAGGGCACATGCCCGGGTTGCGGGTTTGATCCCCACCTGTGAGTCTTGCAGGAGGCAGCCGATCAATGATTCTCATCATTGATGTTTCTCTTTCTCTCTCTCTCTCCCTTCCTCTCTGAAATCAATAAAAAAAATATATAAAAAAAGTAGAGGCAGCGAACTCAAAGAAAAAGTAATAGAATTAGATGAGAAAAGCGGCCGAGGGACAGACACAAATGGAGAGATGGGACGATTCCAGGGCAGGTGGTGACCAGAACGGGGCCTGGTGAGACGCGGAGCTGAAAGGGACAGAACCGAAGGGAGAGGTGCCCATGGAGAGATGCAGTTAGGGGAAGGCCAGAGGCCAGAATGCCGGGGAGGTCACATGCAGAAACGGGTAAACTGAGGCAGGGCCATGCTGAGGCGTGTGGGATGTGGCTGGTCAGTGTAGGTTGCTGGCAGGTCACTCCTGGGCACCCCTCGCACCAGGCCTGGCCCTGGGCCGGCTTCTGGCCACCGCCACAGGCCGCCTTGTGGCAACAGCTCTGGCCCCCACCTGTGACCTCCCCTAGCCCTTACCAGTGCCTCGCGGCCGCTGGTGAGCCGAGGCTGCAGCCGGGCAGTGATGCTGACCTCGGAGCTGGGATGCAGGGAGCGGAGCCGGGCGTCACCGCCGGGCGTCTCGGCCCTCCTGAGCCTCGATGTTCCTGTCTGTCCGCCTGGGTGGTGAGGATGGTGACGTCTCCTGGGTGGCACCTGCTCCCTGCATCCTCCCCTCTCGGCCCCCCGAAACACACAGAGGCCCCGCATTCCTCCAAAAAGTTGTTTTTGTCTTTTTTAAATAATGTGAAAATGCCACGCGAAGGTTTGAACCAGAAGCCCCTCCAGGGGCCAGGCTGGGGCGGGGAAGGGGGATCGCGAGATGGGGGAGTCCAGGTCCCCCGAAGCCTGCGGCCCCGTCTGAGGCGGGAGAGGGTGAGGAGGGGCCTCCGCTGTGCCCAGGGGCTCCGGGCCCGAAAAAGTCCAGTTCAGTTCCAAGAAGGTGGCTCTCCGGGGAGGGGGAGGGGCTTCCTGCCTCATTTGGCACCGAGGGGGTCGGGGGGATCGGGGGAGCCGTCCGGGGGGCTGAGGGGCAGGGGGCCGGGGCCTCCCGTTTGGCACATGGTGGGGGAGGGGGAGGGCCCAGCCTCAGGGGCCTCCCCAGAGGCGGTGTCTGAGGTGGTGGCAGTGGCTCCGTCGTCCACAGAAGATTCTATTCTCAACCCCTCTTCTGGGGGCACAGGGGGTTCGGGTCTTTGGGGGGTCAGTTCTCCACAGGGCCTGACGACAAAGGGAGTGGAGAGAGAAGCAGGATTACTGGGCGGAAAGGCTCATTCGGAGGGAGAGCAAATCCCTTACTGCAGCTCCCAGGCGCCCCCCCACACATCTGCTGGGCCCCTTCCTGTCCCCACCTGGCCCCTCCCCTCGCTCACTCTGCTGCAGCCAGCAGCCTCCTCGCTGCGCCTTCTAGGCTCCAAGCTCAGTCCTACCCCAGGGCCTTTGCACGTGTGGTTCCCACTGCACAGAACCCCTGCCCTTAGCCCTCCATGAACTCAGGCCGATGCTGGATGCTCCCTCCCCAGAGGCCTCCCCTGGCCATGTTCAGTCAAGCGGATGCCCCCTCAGCCCCCCCGCCCCCCCGCCCATGGCATTGTGCTATGGCTACTTTTCTCTTCCTCCTCTGGGATCATCCCAGTCAGAATCCCAGAATCCCAGAGCTTCCTGTCTGCTTGCCCCTCTAGAACGTACGCTCAGGGAGGTCGGGTCCGTGGTCGCTGCTGCACCCCAGCGTCCCGCACCGGGCCTGCCACAGGGCGCCCTCCCACCTGCCTTCCCCGGACCCCTCCTCTCCAAATGGAAGGGACAGTCCCCGCCCCATTCCACACGCCAGAGAAACAAGGGCTTTGGGGTGGAGGACCTTGCCCGGGGCCACTCACCGGCGTCCTCACTCCCCACCCCACCTGTTCCCTGCGTGGTCTCGGTCAAGTCGCTGCCCTCGCTCCCCAACCCTGTGCCTCAGCTTCCTTCTCCTTAAGCGGGGAGCATGACCCTCGTGTCCTTTTCAAAGGAGGGGGGAGACTCTGGGATACGAGGCGTCCCTCAGCATCCAGGGGGCATTTGTTGAGTGGGCAACGCCACGTGAGCACAGGGGTCGGCGGAGTCAGGGGGCCCTGCCTGGGCCCCCACGCCTGGTCCTGCGTCCCTGCCAGGCTCCCCAGCCTCCCAGCCCAGGGGCAGGGGACCAGCTGCCGCCTGAGGAAGACACTTGGGGTTTCAGACAATCCACCCTCCCTCTCGCTCCCGGTGATTAAAGGTAAAGTCATCCTCATTGCTGGCCCGGCAGCCCGAGCCCTGACTCACCACTTGGCCGCCGTCCCCACGCCCTGGAACCCACCCCGTCCTCACGGGGGCCTCAGAGAAGGCCTCTGGGAGGGAGTGACATTTGGGGTGAGAGCTGACAATGCAGCCAAGTGAAGTCAGCCCTTGGCCCCCTCCCTCTGCCCTTGACTCCATGTGTCCTCGCGTCTCCCTCCTGGACGGTGACCCGGCCTCCTTTCCAGCCGCGTCGGCCCCATGTGGCCCCAGGGGGGTCCTCCTACACCCGGGGCTGAGTTGGCCCATCCTGATCACGGCCCTCCCATGGCTCCCTAACTCCCCAGGACTAAGGCCCCACCCCTCAGCCCATCCCCAAGCCCTACATGGTCTGCCCCGCCCCCTGTCGCCTTCCCCTCCCCTCCATCTGCCCCACTCTCTTAGTCACCCCCACACACACCGCTTCCCTTCTGTTCCTTAAGCTGGCCAAGCTCGCTCCTGCCTCAGGCCCTTTGCACAAGCTGTTCAGCCTGCTAGCTCGCTGTCCCCTTCCTCTTCACCTAGTTAACGACATCATCCCTCAAATCCCTGGTTAGACCATCAACCCTCAAATCCCTGGTTAAGGGGCACGTCCACCGTTCACCGGGGAGACAAAGCCCTTTCCTGTTGTCACCTGCTTTCTCGGATGACTGTGGGGTCAGCGTCAGGGGGCGGGGCGGGCTCATCGACCTGGCTCAGCTGGGAATCCCGGTGCCCAGCACCGCACCTGCACACGGCCGGCCGATGCTCACTAAACGTCTACCGTTTAAGCACAGAAACAGCTACCAGCTGGAGACCGCTCACTGCTATGGGCCCCGGCTCCGTGCTCCGCGCACGGGGAGGAGTACGCCAGGTAAACCCTCTCAACAACGGAGCGTGTCATCGCCCCCATTCCACAGATGAGGAGACCGAGGCCCACGGAGGGAAAGCAGCTCGCCTTACCTCACTTAGCCAGGAAGTGGCAGGGCCCGCTCGTGGGGCGCAGGCACGATTTGGGAAGCAGGAATGGAACCCACCCAGTGGTCCCTCCTACCTTCGCAGCTCTGCCTGCCTGCACCTGCCTGGCCCAGGGCAGTTCTCGGTGTCGGCAGCAGGAGGCAGCAGAGCGCCTGGGTCTCATCCCTCTCTAGTCCCAGTCCCGCCCTCAGCCAGGGCTGTGCCCTCCTCTCGGTGAGGACGGCCTTAGCTTTGGGACATCAAAAACTGAGGGTGACGTGCCCCTCTTCTACGCGAAACGCCACAGAATGGGGCTGGACGAACACTGATTCTGGGAGCGGGCTAGGCAGCTGGGGTCTGTACCCCGGCTCCCCACTCCCCTCCTGCCTGGGTTTTCTCTGGGGATGAGACCAGAGATGGGGCGACGATGGGAAAGACTCGGAGGAGATCCTGGCAGAAGGGGAAACCGAGGCTCGGGGAGGCCCGTCTAATGGACACCGCCTGGTCCGAACGGGTTGCAGAGTTTGGGGGGGTCTCGGCGATGAGCAGCGTTGACAGAGGGGAAGGAGGAGACTGAGGGGGAGCAAGGGGGGACAGACGCGGGGACAGGACTGCGGAGGGAGACCGATGGGGACAGAGAGAGCCCGGTAACCGGGTGGATCTGAAGCACGTTACCTGCGGGCCTGGCGTCGGGGGCCCGGGTGGGGGGCCCCGGGGTCTCCAGCGCAGGCGAGACGGAGAAGCGGGAGAAGCACAGGGGGGGCCCTGGCGGGGGGAGGAGGGGGAAATCCTCCGCCCACTCGAAACTGCCTCCTGGCGGAAGGGGGTGCAGGGGGAGAGCGGAGGACGAGGTCAGACCCTCAGACGCTCCGGGAGCCCGGCCACCC